CTCTTGAATGTTAGGGTTATATCTTAATATTATTTGATTCTTTTCTTCCTATGTTACTCTTACATTGAGTAAGTCTTCTAAGTTATTGAATCTTGGTCTAGAGCTTATCATTCACCCTTTAATTCCTTTATGCTCTTCCTCTTGTGTCTGGAAATGAGAAGATACACAAGGTTAACTTCTTTCAATTTGATAATGATGACATTTTGTTTCTTTATTCTATAATTGTTGCCTTATAATCATTATTATTTCCTGCAAAGTCTTGTGGGCCATGGAGATTTTGTAAATGAAATTAGAACATAAGGAATAAGATCTTCTCTTGTGCTTTCTGCAAGTAAAGTAAGTGTCATTCCAAAATTCACAATTTGGGTCCTCTATAGTATATTCAAAACTAATTTTTTTTAGTTTGAATGAATAAGATGAATATGTTCATTTGTGGAATGTTCAAACTGGAATATGTATTGTGATATTTGTTGGAGTTGGTGGTAATCATAATGAAGTGTTAAGTGTGGTTAGTAATCCTATTTCAAGATACACAGATCCTAAGGTCTTGGCTTCACGAACCTACCAGGTACCACAATCATTATAATCTTTTGATCATTTGACTAATTCGCCCCTGGTATAGCCAAAACTACATGATGGAATTGTTTTGTTAACTAAGGGTAATCTAACAAAGAAGTTCTTTTGTTGGCCCAAGAATTAAGGATAGGAAGAATTATTCATGGTGGTTGATTGACCTTGGCCTTGATCACTAGGTTTACTTCATACTTGTATCAAAAGAAACTATACATTATATTATAATATTAATATAATGTATATATTATGTATATATATTTTGTATATTGTCAACCTTATTTCTGATTTGAAACAACTAATGTGCAACTATTAAACTTTGAGACAAGATGGATCAAAAGTTTTTGTGAGATACTGGAATTTTCAGGTACACTTGTTTTGACTATAGAATTCCAATTATCTAATGTCAATTTTGTATATGAAGCATAAACAATAGATCAAATGGTTAAATGCAAGAAATAACAATGTACTTTTATTGATTTGTTTATTATAACATCCTATTTCCATCTCTTCCTATTACACTATAACAACATAATACTTTAAAGAATCTACCCATTTAGCAATGTCATCCAAATACAAAGCAATTTTTTTTTCAAAGTACAATGTTGTAATAGAAAGAAATGAAAGTGGGATGCTATAATATACAAATATATGAAAGCAAGTTGTTATCTTTTGCATTTACAACATTATCAAAAACCAAAGTAGATTCTGAATTACTGATTATCTAATAAGTGAGGTACAAGTATAAGAAATAATTTCAAAGCACATTGCTATAATTAGAAGAAATGAAAGTACATTGCTAATTTTTGCATTATCTCATGTTCCTTTCCAGTGCAAACATAGATGTATCCATATGTATTCTACTATGTGTTACCGGGCTATCTTTCAATCTAATAAAACCAGACAGATCGTTTGTGTTTGTGTATGAGCTTCCTTATGAACCATTCACATCATGATTCCTTTCCACTTTTCATTTCACATCATCTTCATCCTCTTTTCTCACATTAATTGTATTATTATATTATGTTAACATAGTTATTCCCATATTTGCATTTGTATCACATAAAACACCCTTACCAGATTATGTTTCTTTAGGTTATAGTTATACTTCTGCTTGCATTATTTAATAGCACATACTTTCGTTGATTTGATTATTATAATATCCTAATTTCAAAGGATAATGTCATAATAAGACAATTTGAAAGTATGATGCTATAATGGGTAGATTTTGTTAAAGTATAATGTCTAAATAAGAAAAGAATATGAAGTACCAAACTAGAAGTGATAAAAATAGGAATGTGTTCTTATTCAATTTCTACCCTCCAAGCAGAAGTTTCTCTCAGTTTTTCTACTTTTTAGCCTAGAATTTTTTTTATTTCTTTTGTTGGAGAATAACTCTTAGGTTTTTAACATTGCAGTATTTCAACGCCAGCTCCACCAAGAACCAGAACTGGAACCCATACTATAGGGACCAGAATTGGAACCCATACTATAGGGACCAGAATTGGAACTTTCTTTCATTTTCTTGTCAACCGAACATCAGGTAAATCACTTTCTTTCTGAAGAGTACACTAGGGGTAAATCGACCACGTTAAAACAATAATGGGTTGATAAATAAATAGATATCAATTTGCATATTGTAAGAAGCCCCTTCAAGAAAACGTTTATTTGAATAATCTAGAAGCAAACATTGTTGTTTTAAGAAGGCTCGATGAGGAATGGAGAGAGTTATCTCTAAACAAGCATTCTCTTGAGGCCCCCACTCAAACTATTAGCAGTTTTAAAACCAATGTATCGTAAATTTTATAATTTTTGGTTTCTATTATTAAAATACAAACATATGAATTAGTTAATTAATTATATAGTCCTTTCTATATGTATTTGAAATTTATGAATTTAATGTATGTCGAGTATTGTAACCTTTTTATTTTTATGTTTGTTTGTTTTGAAATATGGATTTGATGTATGTTTTAAGATTAAAACTTTATTTTTGTAATGCCAAAATCTGTTGGTAATTTGTCAAAGGAAATATGTCGGTAATCCATTATTGAGTTATTCCGCTATTTCTTCGGTAATCCGTTAGCGAGTCATTCCGTCGGTAATCTGTTGCAAACACATTCCGTCAGTGATCCGTTGCAAAAATATTTTTGTCGGTGATCGGTTACTAATTACCAATGGAAAAATATGCCACTAAATTTGTCGTAGCTATCGGAAACCGTACAAACAATTGCCGAAAAGAATACACCGACGCAGTTGGGCCTGTTGCAATTTCGTCGGTAAAGCCTATTAGCGACGTATACCGACGGTTTTAGCCGTCGGTAATGCTTTTTTTTGTAGCAGTGATAATATATCAGACAGTTCAATCATTAATCAAAATTTTCCAACAAAAAACAACATTCTAGTAGGACCTACATGTCAATTTTATGCTCATAGAAGATATTTTAGATAGAGGGAATTCAGGGAGAAATCGAGCCCAGAAACTACCAATTAATGTGTATAGTTGGGGATATAAATCCATATAGTGTAAAAAATAAACTAGACAAATTTCTTGTGTATAAAGGAGAAACGAAACAAAGAATAAAATAGGTGAAGAAGTTATTGACTTGCACACAAAGTTTTTATTAAAACGTAAGTACTTAAATTGAAAATAAAACTAATGACCCTTCGACACCTATTTTATACTAGAAGAAATTGAAACCTACTCAAACTTCTAAAACAATAAAATAAAAGACTTTGGCTCCTAATCTAAAACTGAGAATTAATAAAAGGCAAATTTCCTATACCAAAACCGATTAACCCAACAATCACCCCCTTAATCGGATTTGTCATACGAGCCACTCGTCGTTAAAAACAATGCCGACTCCTCTTCGATTAGACCCGCTTCTTCTTTTTCCCATTTAGGACACTCGTTTTTATAGTGACCAAGCTCACCACATTTGTAACATCTAACGTGACTTTTATCCCAGACACGTTCATTACCATCTCGACTTCTCCCAGACCCCCGACCTCTTCCCCGGTCACGTCCAAAGTCATCCCGATTTGAACATCCATTGCCACAATTCTTACAAACATGTAACTTTTCCTCACTAGCCAACAACAACCCACCTTGAGTGTCCTCCACTTTCTCGGTTCCTCTTATACACTCCTCATATGCCTTCAATCTACCAACCGCTTCATCAAATAACATTGAATCCAACTCGAAACATTGCTCTATTGAAGCCACGATTTGAAGAAACGACTTAGGCATATAATCTAGTAATCTTTTTTACCAAATCACCTTCTTCAAGCTCATATCCAAGACTCCTTGCTTTTGAAGCTAAACCGGATAATTTCGTCACAAATCATCAACCGTTTCACCATCCTTCATGCGTAAACTTTCAAGCTCCCTTTTTAAGTTGCAAGTCGAGCCGTTCTCGCCCGATTCACTCACAAATACCGTGTTTTTAGCCCATCCCACACTTGCTTTGGGTCGGTGTAACTCGCCATTTGCAACACCATGTCTTCGGGTATCGCTTGAAACAAAAAGGCAAGAGCTTGTTTTGAGTTCTTTTGATCTGGTGCTTTATCTAACGTCTTCGGTTCGACCGTCTCCCATATGTCATGTGCATCCATAATCGACTTGACTTTGACCGCCCACACCGGATAATTCGTTGGAGTCAAAACTGGAACTTGATATGTCAACAAACCTCCTTCTTTTACCAACGACATCCTTTTCTCCTTAACCCCGACTTCTTTAATCAAGCTTGTTCCGAGAGCACTCTTCCACCGGACAACAAGACAAGGTCACAACCACCTTTACCGTCTTGCGTCACCCGCAAAACGAACCGAATCAAAGCCACCCGCTTTGACGTCTTCCCGTCCGTTTATTCCGCGCCTCCGGTTAGTCTCTCACAAACCCGATTAAAAGAAACCGGGGTTGATTCTAATTAACCTCGAATCACACCCCCTTCAACGAAACTGCTTTGATACCAAGTGTAAAAAATAAACTAGAAAAATTTCTGGTGTATAAAGGAGAAACGAAACAAAGAATAAAATAGGTGAAGAAGTTATTGACTTGCACACAAAGTTTTTATTAAAACGTAAGTACTTAAATTGAAAATAAAACTAATGACCCTTCGACACCTATTTTATACTAGAAGAAATTGAAACTTACTCAAACTTCTAAAACAATAAAATAAAAGACTTTGACTCCTAATCTAAAACTGAGAATTAGTAAAAGGCAAATTTCCTATACCAAAACCGATTAACCCAACATATTGAACAGTGAACTGATCGTTTCATTCGTTGTTTGTTTGTTTCTATTCTCTACTTCTAACAGTTTTTAACTATAAAATAAGCTAAATATTTAGTATTATAAAATGACTATTCAATAGTAGACTATAGAAGCAGTATATAATTCAGTTTCACTGATGATATATAATCGTCAACATTTATGATTTATGCCGATAAATGAAGCTCATTTCAACTTTAGACGAAGTATAGCCACCATCAAGCACCAAATTATGGCCGGTTATAAATCCGGCTTCATCGCTGGCTAGAAATAACACAGCTTGTGCAACATCGTCCATGCTTCCACATCTCCCATGAAGTAAACTGCCACATTCAACTATCCTGTTGCTAACTTCTTCCATGGTCATTTTCGGTTTCCCTAAATGGTCTCGATATGCATTCACGAGCATCTCTGATGGGATGGCGTGTGGTGAGACACAATTGACGCGAATCCCATGAACTCCTAACTCGCAGGCTGCGCTCTTTGATACTGCAAGAATGGCTCCTTTGGTTACCGTGTATGCGTGCGATGCAAGGCCTCCCATGATTGCAGCTGAACTTGATGAACAAATGATGGAACCTCCGTTACCAACTGAAATCATCGCTCTTGCAGCGTGTTTTATCCCATGTATAACGCCTTTTATGTTAACGTTAATTAGGGTTGCCACCTTTTCCATTTCAAGATTCGTGATGCTCCTTCCATTATCTGAAATTAACCATAAATTTCAACAACATAAGAGAAACAAAACTCCATAGCTATACTAGACCCAGCTTTAAGCTCGACCTATTGCTACAACAATTACCCGTGGCGTATATAAAAGCACAGCTACGTATAAATGTTTCTTTCCTTGTATATATTATATTAGAATATAGTATATTGTAAGAAAACATGTGTTTTAATTATACCAATAATTCCAGCATTGTTGAAGAGGATATCAAGTTTTCCTTTCCAAGATAGAGCAAGTTGAACAGCAGATTCGACATCGGATTCTTTAGAGACATCACAGTGTATGTAAAGACCCCCAATAGACTTGGCAAGACTTTCACCAGCATCGTCCAATACATCAGCAACTATAACATGAGCGCCATTCTCAGCCAGTATTGTTGCTGTTGCACCTCCGATTCCCCTTGCTCCACCGGTTACAACCGCAACTTTCCCCTTTAACCTTGCAACCAGAAACCAGAACCCGGCCCATCAACTTATAAAATTTAACATGTTTGTTGTGTGTGAAATTAAGAAGAGCAAACTGGGCAAGAATATGTATGTTGATATCAAGAACGAGATGTGAAACAAGTAGACTAACCTTTCTGTTGCCAAATTTTGCCTACCATCATCATGTTTATGACCAGATGACTCCATGGTTGACACTTTGTATTAGTAAAACATTCAATATATGAGTTGTATTTGGAAGCAATTAGGAAGACGGTGTTGTCTTTGATGATAAACTTTTCTACCACCTACTTTTGACCTATAATTATGGTACGTACTTTATATTGTGTGATTACTAAAATTAACGTACTTTTATATATATATATATATATATTATATATATATAATATATATATATATATATATATATATAGTGATCAAGAGAACAATATATAGTTTACTAAAACTATGTGTGTGTTTAATAAAACTAGACCACAATATGTTTAGTGATCAAGAGAACAATATATAGTTTATCAGAATAGTTGAATGATTCCGGTAGTTAATTTATATTCGATATATAGTTTAACAAAATAGTTGAATGTTTAATAAATTAGTTGAATGAGTTAGATAGTTAATTTATATTCAATATATAGTTTAACAAAATAGTTGAATGAGATGAAAAACCCGTTAATTTATATTCAGTGCATTAAACTCTACTCAAACTCATAATAAGATGTCATATTGACGTTAATTTAATGGATATGGGTTTTAATAATTAAATATTCAAGAGTTGAATTGGAGAATATAACTTTTTAATATGATTAACAAATAAATGACTTTTAAGAAAAAATGTTTCATTGAACTTTTTCAAAATTTAATGCATTGTACATAGGATATTGTAAAGCCGGAAGGAAAAGTGAAATGATATACAAATAAATTTCAAAGTCTATTACACTCGTAATCAGTGTGAATGTCGATATGAAGATTTGAATCGTTAAGCATATACCATTACAAGAATACGTTTATTAGCGGCGACAACCACTATTAGCGACGATACTCGTTATTGTCGCTGCTATTGTCGTCGTCGCTAATGCCTATAAACCACGATCCAAATCGAACCTTTTTATGAAACACTGTCCGTTCGATCTATCTACAATCCAAGGGTTGGTGTCATTCGTTTCGTGTAAATCAATAACAGCGACACCAATACCGGCACCAGGTGTCGCCGCTAATAGTCGAAAAAAAGCTGCAACATTTTCCCTCTATTCTGTCGCCACTGTTTCCAATTGTCGCCGCTGTTACTCGATCGACGCCAATATAAAATGTCGCCGATATTGCTTGTCAATGATAGACCATACAACGATTGTCTTCCTTCACAGTTTGTTTGTGTTCGTGCCTCCCGTTTTTTTCTCCCATTTGTCGAGCGATTCTCACACCGGTGACTGATTTAGGCAAACATACCACCACCACGTCTCCGTGAAGCTACCCCACTATGACATTACTGGCGAAGGCAAAGGAAGATACCGACATCTATTTTTCTTCTTCGATGACTAAGGTGTAATCCCGACGACTAAGGTGCAATTCCTTCCTCATTTCTCTTTCTCTTTCTCTTGTAACATCAATTTCCAGTTTATAGTCGAGTTAATTGCAAAAACAAAAACCTTGATTTCAGTTTTCTTCAATTGTTGTTGTCACCGGCGACGACTACTGTAACATCCCAATGATGAGGTACTTCTATATTTGACCCTATAATTGAATAATATTGAATTTTGGTCCCTAAGTAAGAGAAAGAGTGCAAAAGGGCCCATAGTGGCATTTTGGTAATTTCAAACTTTGGGGAGTGCGTTGAGCGTACGTATGTACGCTAAGCGTACTAGGGCGCGCCTTAGTACGCTGGGCGTACACCTCGTACGCAGGGTGTATGTGAGGATCATGCAAACCCTAATTTTTCGGGTTTGGCTCATATTTAAACCTTATTATAGCCTCACATCTCATTCTTATTCAACATCCTTCTGTGAAATTGACCCCCCCCCCCCACCCCAAGCAATCCATGAGTGAAAGAGAGCATTTTGGAGCATTTGGAGTGATTAGAAGTGTTCTTGAAGAAGAGGAGAGTGGTGTGGAGAGCTTGGAATTTGGGAAGCACTTTGGATCTGAGATTTCCTTCTTGTTAGCAAGCTCCAGAAGGTAAAAAGTTTGCAACTTGATCACTCCATCTTGTAAATCTAGACTTTTGTTCTTTTAAGACAGTTTTTGGTCCCAAAATGGTGATTCTTGAGCATGAAATGTTCTTGATGATGGGTTTTATGCAAAACGAATAAAAATCCTATGCTTGCATGCAACCCTAATTGAAGATCTATGTTTTATCTAATTGAACATACAACTTTGAACATCAAATAAGAACCCTAAGGATACCTAGGTATTTTCGAAAATTAGAAACCAAGAAGGAAAATATATATTTTGATCCTTTGGAAGCAAGCACCACAATTGTTGTGTCTCTAGTGGTTCACACCCAAGCTTGCAAGAAGGATGAGGTGGAGAGAAAAGGGAGGAGAATTCCGTCCTATGTTCTCTAGGGTTTGAGGTACCGAATTTGAGAGGGTTTAAGGCCCTTTATATAGGTGAGGTAGCTTAGAGCCAAAGTTAGGCTTGAAAGAGGAAACCCTAATCCCTTAGCTTGGTGACCAAGCAGCCCATGAACCTCCATCCAAGAGACTTTGGACGAAAAATCTAGGACCTTCCTAGAAGTTTTCGTCCAACCTCTTTCAAGGAGGTTCTAGAGCCCTTTTTCTCAACTATCAATAAATTGTCAAATGGCCCCTGCACTTTTATTTAATACAATTAATCCCAAAATTAATTCTAATTAATTTATGATCAGCTATTAATTAAAAAATATGATTTCTAATTGATATATTGCTTTCATAATACATTAATAAATCAATTATTTCAATTTATTAATCAAATAATAAATTAATCTCTCTCTCCAATAAATCATCTTGTCCAATTGCTAGGTCTGAGGGCAACCCATAAGGATTGTGCTACTATCAATTCAAGTTTATACCAATTATAGTTATGGGCTTAGACACCTAATCCAATAGTCTCCCACTTGGATAAGTCTAATAACTATAAGTGCTACTAGAACTTCTAAACTGATCAGCAAATTGTAGCTTCCAAAAGTCGTTGTCGAACTCTGACCCAGTCAGATACGTGTCCTAAGATAAGTGATCATATAATCCTCCGTTCTGCAAGATATCATTCAGATATGAGACATGGAACAAAATCAATCTCATTGGGCATTACTTTGTTTCCCGATTTCTTATTTGTAATGATAAAGAACAACTAATCGAACACATCAATTTAGTCCTGGTCGGGCCCGACACTATAAGTCAACACCAAATCATCGAGGGGCCCAAAGATATCGCCTTTTCCCATTAGGGAAAAAGGAACAGATAAACTTTGACTTATATTCTTGTACTATCTACTCACCAAATCATGCACGACAATACGTTTTATAACATCATGTTACCGATGCGTTTACGTATTATGAATGCTCAACTGATTTGTAAACCACAACTCATATATCTCCGTTTAAAGATTATAAGATATTATCCTCTCAGAATTACTCTGATAAATTCTATGAAGTAATTCTCTGAGCGTGGGTTAATCCAATACTTAAATCTCCATTTCAAACCAATTATTCAAACATCCACAATCGATCATACTTTTGGAAGTAAGTAGTGAATCAAGACTATCATGAATTAGATAGTAGTATTGCTACAATATTCATGAAGTAAAACATGCAAAATGAAACACAATAATAAACAATTGACAAAAGGTAGTAAACAAACTCATAAATAAATCTTTATTGTTTAATCACCAAAAGTCAATTACATTTACTTGTTACAAGTTTCAAAATAATTATCTAACTACTAAAACTAATATAATCTTTCAGACCAATGCTCATTACATGTTGAATGTGCTTGACCCTACTCATATCCTTTGTGAGGGGGTTTGCAAGATTTTCTTCAGATGACACCCTCTTTACAATGAGGTGACCTTATCTACTCTACGTCTAATGAAATGGTATTTTCTGTCGATATGTGTCGATCTGCCATGATCTTTTGGTTCCTTTGTTAAGGCAACCACCCCTTCATTATCATAGAAAATCTCCATTGGATCCTTAATGGCTGGAACAACTCCAAGGTCTCCGATGAAGTTCTTCAACCAAATCGCCTCCTTTGATGCTTCGATTGCTGCTATGTACTCTGATTCATAGGTAGAATCAGCCATCGTCTCCTGTTTGGAACTTTTCCAGGTTACCGCTCCTCTATTTAAGGTAAACACCCAGCCAGATTGAGAACGGAAGTTGTCTCTGTCTGTTTGAAAGTTGGCGTCACTATACCCTGTTACTCTCAATGTATCATTGCCACCAAGCACAAGGACCCAATCCTTTGTTCTTCACAGATACTTGAGAATATTCTTAACTGCTATCTAATGAGCTCTACCTGGATTTCCCTGATAACGACTGACCATGCTCAAAGCAAAAGCTACATCAGGGCGCGTACATGTCATAGCATACATGATAGATCCAACGTCGGAAGCATATGGAACTCTACTCATTTATGCTATCTCTACATCAATACTCGGGCTCTGAGTCTTACTCAGTTTGGTATTACTCTGTATAGGCAGCTCTCTTTTCTTGGAATTTTCCATACTAAAACTTTTTAGTACCTTTTCCAAGTATGTAGTTTGACTAAGTCTAATTAGCCTTTTACTCCTGTCTATCAGAATCCATATCCCTAGAATATAGGCAGTCTCTCCCAGATCCTTCATAGCTAAACACTTTCCAAGCCAAGACTTAACTTCTTGCAAAGTTGGAATGTCTTTTCTTATAAGAAGTATGTCATCAACATACAATACAAGGAAGGTTACTATACTCCCACTAGCTTTGACATATACACAGGACTCATCTTCACTTCTGGAGAAACCAAACTCTTTGACCTTCTCGTCAAAGCAAATATTCCATCTGCGAGAAGCTTGTTTCAATCCATAGATTGATTTCTCAAGCTTACACACTCTATTCGGATACTGTGCATCTACAAAACCTTCTGGCTGACTCATGTAAACATCTTCAGCCAGTTTTCCATTAAGGAAAGCGGTTTTGACATCCATATGCCAGATTTCATAGTCATGAAAGGCAACTATGGTTA